GGAATTATTATTATTTATTAAATTTGTATGCCGCCCTTCATCTGAAGATCACAGGGGCAGTTTACAACATAAAAATACAAAATGAAAATACAAAATACTTGATAAAACAAAAGCCAAGCAAACCAATAACTTCCCCTCCCACAGACACATTTTAAAGCCCTTAGAATGTTAATCAGCCCAATGCCTGGTTGAAGAGTTTTCTCCTGTCACCAATGTGTAATGAAGGCACCAGGAATGTAGGAAGGAAGGCGAAAGGGTAGAGAAAAGAGGTGTTGGGTTGCACTAATACTCTAGTAGAGGAGTAGCCTCCATTTACTTTATTTTGGGATACATTTGTATGTATCCAAATGGCGTTGTTGAAAAACCAGAAGTGTTGATGTCTGCTAAACATGTGCTTGCTGGTTTGGGTATATTTTCATTACTAAATAGAACACAGGGAATGGGAGTAAACCTGGCACCCGCTCTCTCCTCCCCACTTTGAGGACTTTATTCCCATGAGACTCACTTTTGCCACTGGAGATAGACTGGGAGTGGGGAATTAAAGTGTGCAGCACAGCGAAGCAAGTAGTAGGGGGGAGTATTTTACTCCTGTCTCCCATCCATTTAGGCTGTGATCCTAACCCCCACTTACACGAGAGTAAGGTCCATTGAATTAATGTCTGCTTCTGAGTATGCATGGTTAGGATTAAAGGTAAAGGTAAAGGGACCCCTGACCATTAGGTCCAGTCGTGACCAACTCTGGGGTTGCGGTGCTCATCTCGCTTTATTGGCCAAGGGAGCCGGCGTACAGCTTCTGGGTCATGTGGCCAGCATGACTAAGCCGCTTCTGGCGAACCAGAGCAGCACACGGAAACGCCGTTTACCTTCCCACCGGAGTGGTACCTATTTATCTACTTGCACTTTGACGTGCTTTCAAAGTGCTAGGTTGGCAGGAGCAGGGACTGAGCAACAGGAGCTCACCCCGTCGCGGGGATTTGAACTGCCGACCTTCTGATCGGCAAGTCCTAGGCTCTGTGGTTTAACCCACAGCGCTACCCGCGTCCCATGATTAGGATTACGTTGTGATTTTAAAAAAAACAGTCTATTTTTATAGCCAAACAGTGAGTGTGTGTTTAGCAAACATACTTATGTGTCATTTGGTCCTATGTGTTTTAGTTCCAGAGTGATTTAATATTTGTTGTGCTGTACTATCTAAACTTTGCTGTACTATCTGAACTTTACTTATTATCACTTTGTTTAAAAATGTCTAAACTACCCACCAATCCAAGTACAGTGGTACCTCAGGTTAAGAACTTAATTCGTTCTGGAGGTTTGTTCTTAACCTGAAACTGTTCTTAACCTGAGGTACCACTTTAGCTAATGGAGCCTCCCGCTGCCGCCGCGCGATTTCTGTTCTCATCCTGAAGCAAAGTTCTTAACCCAAGGTACTATTTCTGTGTTAGCGGAGTCTGTAACCTGAATCGTCTGTAACCTGAAGCATCTGTAACCCGAGGTAACACTGTAATCTGATAATACAATAAACCATAAGACATCATAAAATAGTAAAGACTAAAAGGCAGCAGCTAAAAACCCTTTAAAATGGCTGGGCAAACATGTCTTAAACTGGCACTGAAATCATTGGAATGCCAATTCATCTCCTCTAGGGTGGGAATTTCAAAACCAGGGTGCTACCACAGAAAAGGCACCTTTCTGCAAGTATAACTCACTTCAGCATGTGGCGGCATTCAGAGAAAGACCTCAGTCGGCAATCCTAATAATCATAACACTACGTTGTATCTAAAGTATCTGTCTTTCTAGGGAGGAAAATGGTGATGATGTAAAACAAACAAACAAACCCTGAACATAGTTATTTATAGACATATGTACCATCTGATAAAACTCATTATCAGTGTTCTAATAAATATTCCTTCCTCCCCACCTACAGAAGGTGGTTGTGTCCGTAATCATTGTCATTAGGTGAAAATAAAGCATCATCTTTGCTCAACTTGTTCCAAACACAGTCATAAAATGATATATTTATCTCACAGCTAGCCGTGACTTCCAGTTATACTTATGATGCAGCAAAATGGCATCACGCCTTCAATTTACCTTGGAACATGTTGTTTTGAAATTACCTCTGGTTTTCAGTAGAAATTCTAAACCAGCACCTTCTTATAAAGTGAATTAAAGGTCAACATGAACCCAATAACTTAACAAAGGTAATTAACACACTGTAACATCTATCAAGCATTTGTAAACACTGTTTATAAACACAGTTTCATACCGTTTCCTGTTCTGAGGTCAGTTCTGTGCAAATTGCATGCAGACAGGGGCTTGGATGCAAAACGCCCCGCGTGCCAGCGGACTGCAAATCCATCCAGTGAGGCTGCTTATTTTCCATCCCAGCCTGCATACACTTTTGCAGCTCCAGCCCTTTTCATACTGAGGAAGTGTTAAGGCTGGTGTCGATGTTTTGCCATACTTTAATAAGATCCCTGCTTGCAATTCAAAATTCTTAATTCTGACAAGCAACCAATTAGATAGCTTACCTTAAACCTGGGGTGCAGAACCTTTTTGGCCGGGTGGGCTAACTCTTTATCTACCCCCTCCAGGCAGGCAGAGTTTGACAGGTGGCTAGGGCCACCCACCTCTCCCTCATCTGATGTCATGATGATATTAGGTGATTGATAGGCGGGTGGTTTCAACCGTTTGCCAAAGTTGGCCTGTGGTTTGGGGGAAAGGGTCTGCTTCATCTACACATTCCCCACAGAATGCACTGGCAAAGCAGAATGGCTAGGGCCATTTGCTTGAGAACGTTGAATCTCATTCAGCTGGACTCTGAACCTCCTGAACAAGTTCACTTCTACATTCAAATTCTCACCACCTCCCACTCATTGACAAAACAGTTCCTTTGAACTGTGATGCCTTCACAGAAATGAGTGCCATTTCATATTTGTTTTACTCTCAGCTAGGAGCAAAGTGTGAGAAAAAGGGTGTGTTGCTACTTCCATCAACAGAGTTGCAACCCCAAGGATGCCACCATTCTAACTCATGAGGCCAAATTCAACTAGACAGTTGCACTAGTGGGATCTAGCACCATGACTTCCAGTAACACAATGGGGTTTCCTCCTCTCCTCCCCCTGGGACCCTTGCTATGGCAAAAATGTGCCCATAGAAACATTTGACTATTTTCTTATTTGGTACCTGTTTTCTTACAAGCCGCTTTCAACATGAAAGCTATTATGCGGGGAGCGGGTACAGCCACTGACTGAAACTTAGTCAAGGAGGCCAAGAAACATGACTCTTTTTATGCCAACTTGGCACTCTTCAATAGAATTCACTTAGAAACAGATTTCTACAAGATTACCCACAACTCATGCGTGGTATAGCTACTCTGGTGGAAATGAGCAAAAGTGTGAATTTTTGTTTTGTTTGCTTCATTCTTATGCTCTTGTTATAATCTGTTGTGTTGATAAAATACCTCTGTAATAATATATATACTGAGAAAAGGCAATGAAAGTGTTGAAAAAAATAAGTGGAGTTTACCAGCTCAAAAAGAATGTATAAATTGGCCTCTAAGGGAATGAAGGTCCAAGCAACAAAAAATAGGCTGATATATGGTGCATCAAGTGCTATTAAATAAATTTATATTGATGCAATATATTTCAGCATCTCCCCCCCCCCCATTTTTTTTAAACAAAGCAACAGAGCTGCTGGAAGATACAAATCTGCCTATACAATTAACTATAATGCTGAGTTTTCAAGAGCAAGAAAGAGGTTTCTCTGGTTTTCTTCTGTGTCACATTGAGGTAGTTGAGCTGTTTCATTCCTCTGCTCAACTCATGGCTTCCAACTCTACAATTCGCCCTCAATGACAAATGCTGATTTCAGTGCTGTTTGCTCAGAAAAAGATACTGGCAAGCCACAGTCTTTTCCAATGGCAGCCATACACGAGCTTTCACAACATTTTGTGTTGCAAAGGCCAAATTACAATGTGTGTGCTGGAGAAAGCCTAAATTTGTCTGGTACCTTTGCCCTTCTATTTGTGTGCTCACATGTTAAAATCTCTTGGCCAGATTTTAAAAGCTGCACGTGACATCGGCATTACTGAAGCAGTGTCACAAAATCCAGGAAGCACTCTCTTCGAAACCCAGAATGCTAACTTAAAGCCAGTTTAAGGGCAATGGATGCACCAGAGCTAGACAACTGGCTCTATCTAGTAGAGGCTTCTTGTCAATACAGAGCAGATCCACACCATACATTTAAAATACAGAACTTCCCCCCAAAGAATCCTGGGAACTGTAGTTCCCTCTCACAAAGCTACAAATCCCAGCACCCTTAACAAAATAGTTTCTATAAATCTTTTCTTTTCTTTTTTCTTTTTTTGGCGGGGTGGGAGTGTCCCACTTCTGTCACCAGTGTAACACACCACTCCAATCTCTGGTGTGACATTCCAGAGATTCCAGGTGCTTACCCTAGGGCACGTGTTTCTTTTTGGAAATGAGGCACAGCAGAGACTCTACAATATACGGTTTATTTACACATATATACAGCCTGAGCCTACAATGGAGGGGCAGACTGAAGTTAGTGGCACATTGTTCCACCACTAGGTCTGCCTGGGAATTAAGATCAATGTCAGAGGCCTTGCTCTCTCAATGCCATCTCAGGAGATTCTCATTGGCAGCATCATATACTCTCCCCAACTGAATATTGCAGTAGATATCTGAAACAGATATTATTGAAGTGTCATATATACGATGCTCGATTCTTTTCATGTGGCTCTTCCATGCCAATATTCTCCAAGTAGCCACTGCTTGTATATGTCTGAAACTCCCTGCTTGCATGCCGTCTTTAGTACAATCCACAACTCATTGTATGTGAAAAGCTGATCTGTATTAAAATCATAACTGCTAGAAAACTCTTTGATCACACTTCTGTGCTACAGATATAGCCAGCCCTTTCTGTGCCAAAGCCTGTTCTGGCTTCCCCCACCCCCCACCATGGATCACACAAACACAAACTCTGATGTATTGGGTGTCTTTAATCCAAAATGGGAAAATAGCAGAGCAAATATTTTTTTTTCCAGCAATGAGACACCACCAACAACAAAAATTAAAACATTTTTTTTTTACAAATTAAAATTTCATACAATGTCTAAAATGCCACCTAAAAGCTAAACCTTTCTTTAAAAAAAAAGGGAAAGTGTGTGTTTTTAAAACACTAGTATGCCAGTGAAACAAACGTGGCAAAAGATATTCATTCATGGACTAAAGATATACAGAAAGAGGCAGAAAAAGGGATTGACCACCAGGATAATGAGGCAAAAGTTTATGTGAAGGAATACTTTCCTGCTTTTCTTCCCTAAGGTACAGGTAGAGTAAGACTCAAGAGAGCTTGACTTTAGACAAATGTGCCCAAGTCGGCAGCATGTCAATTCCCTCCTTCAAACTTCAGCTGAGACTTTTTGGTTTTCTAGGCAGAATTCCCATCATCATATTCCCATATTAACATTTGTGCCATCTGGCTATTCAACACCCAAAGATGTTAAGGAATCCATCTAAAAAAGACTCATTTTTATGGTACTGTTTCTGTTTTTTCTTCACATATCAGAGTGTGCATGTGGCAGGTTCTGTCCCACATGAGCTCCAATGAGATGCAAATCTCAGATTTGAGCCTTTTGCTATGTGCTCCAAATAGTTGCAGCTTCCTGGTAAAGATCAGGAGGGTTGTGAACAGCAGCACAGAACAGCAATGCAAGAGCCACAACAGAACAGCTGGGGTGGAGGATATGAGCCTGCAACCTTGCAGCATGAGATCTTTAGAACTGCATCAAGGTCTTAAGTTTTAACACTGCACAAGATGGTGGTGGAAACTGGGCGACAGGACATATTCTGATGTAGTGCTCCAGGAAGGCTGCATCAGTTATTGAAACAGATCAATCATGAACGTCTCCACTCAACAAACACCTACTTTCCATCCCTCCCACCCACCCAAATAACCCTGAGATCATAACTGAATTCTGGGTGTTCATGGACCCTCCCCACACACTACCCCTCAAAAATTCAAAGTAGAATACAGAAGGGGGTGGGCCTTCCTGCCAATACTTACAATATCCATCCTATCACATCATTACATACAATCCACAAACGCACAAGTGAGAGGAAGTCAATCCTGTGATTGCACAGTTAGAGGCAGAAGGCTTTCAGTTTAAGGAGCCCTATTGTACTTGGGACAATAACTTCCCAAACTGAATTTAAGGTCCATCAGCCAAGAACAGTTCTTGATGTTAAATGAAGACCACAGTATCGTCAGTGCCTTTGTTTTCAGGTGGAATTCTTCAACAGCCCTGGCCTTTTGTTGTTGTTGTCGACACAAACTGAAAGCCTTTAACTCTAAAACAACAACCGCTGTACTCAGCACAGGACTCCTATCTTGATTTCAGCTCTACAGTAGTTTTAAAAATATAGATTATATATATTTTATTTATATTATTAACCTTTAAATGGTGATCACAGGAATTTCAGTGTCTCTGAAGGAGAAAAAAACCAAGGGGGGGTGTTACTAAACAAACAAACAAAATCTGATTACCAGAAATATTTCCCTACAGGACCAGGGGCTGGGAAATAACATAAAAGTATGTTTTGTACATAGAGCAGCTGTCTCCTGCTGGACCTCAGAAAGGTCAGAACCATGAGAGGCAGCTAAAAAAAAAAAAACTAGTCTGGTATAAAGATCTGAATTCCATGTGTTTGATATGACAGTCTTTATCTCCAATTTGTTTTAAAAAATATATAGATATAGTTATTGCTTTCACAACCACCAGGTTTGGCTCTACTGAATCCTCAGTGGGGGAGTGCTGTAGGTTCAGCGGGGTTTGCTTTCTTCCGCCTCTTCATAAGCAACGGGTTGGATGAGTCTTCAATTTTCTTAATCTTGATTTGTTCATAATCCACTCTCATGGTGGCCAAGGCACTTGTCATCTCCTCCTACAAATGTGAGGTAGAGGAAACAAATTAACATCTGGCTAGCCAAATTATTCTAGCTTCAGGCATTACTGTCATCCAGAGGAAAGATCCTATTTGTAACTTAACAATGGGCACAAAAGCCAGCTTCCAAGTTCAGACTGTGGTAGAGTGAGGAGGGCCTTTAAGCCTGCATATCTGGCATTACCTACTACAGTGGAACCTTTGTTTTCAAATGTAATCCATTGCGGAAGACCGTTCAACTTCTGAAATGTTTGAAAACCAAGGAACAATGGGCAGTTGGCAAAATCCATTGGGGGAAAAAGGAAAACACGCAGCGGAAGCCGTTCAACTTCCGGGTTTTTGGCATTTGGGTTCTGAACCGTTTGGCTTCTGAGATGCTCGAAAACTGAGGTTCCACTGTACAGGCTAGGAGTGGCTTGCAGCACTGATGGACAGGCTCACAATCACTTACACCTGGAGTTGCGTAACCTTCATCCATGCTGCTTAGCAGTGTGTGAGATGAAACTTGCAGACAACTTACCTTAACGTCCTCCCAAAGATCTTTCTCTTCTTTCAAAACTCTGCTAGTGTGCAGCGGGGTTTGTGGCACTTGCATTGATTGCTGCAGAGGGAAGACAAATGGAGCTTTAGTCTAGGGGTTGGGGAGCCTCTGGCCTGGGAAACTCTCTTTCCAGTCCTTGGGACTTGCCAAGACTTCTTCTGTCCCTTTTTGACTGGCTGAGTGGTGATCATGCCCCTTGCCTGAACAGATGTAGTGGTGTGTGTACTGTAGAAGCCTCTGACTTCTGCATGGCTGGAATACAGCTTCCACCCAGTGCTCTGCCCACTTTCCCCTCTGGCCCCATCCACTTTTGCCTCTCTTCTCTCTCCCCTGCCCGCTTACTGGCATGCAGCTGCAGGAGTTTTCTCACAATGGAACTGGTGACTGAGCTGAAAAATGTTTCCCCTCTATCTATAAAGCTACCTCAGACTCCCTGCACTCCTGTTTCTCAGCCTAGGCTTCTGCACCAGTTTTTCTTCCTGAGAAATGACAGGTGGATTCTTACCATGATCCAAGGGTGATTCATGAACTCCATTATAGTCATTCGCTGGGTTGGATCCGTCTTCAGCAAATTCCGGATCAGCTGCTTAACTGAAGGTGGAGGAAAGGCAACAGCATTAACAACAACACACACTGTGTCTCGCCACCTCATTCCAAAGCTCTCTTCAGATGTTGCAGAAATCCTGAAGCTTGCACAGCAAAAGGAGAGACAATGTACACAAAGGGATGGGTCTATTTTAAGGAGAACATGCTTTGACTCATATAAAAACCTGAAGGGACTTCTCCTGAGCAAATACGTTGCTTGTGGAGATAACACATGAAAAGTACTCTGAGGACTCTTAATACTAATTAATTTTAGTACATATGATGAGTAATGTACTTGAAAGAATTGTCATGTGTGACATTGTGGGGCCTGGCCTTTTTTGGGGGGTGCAGTGTTTATTTTTATTCATTTTCCCACTCTCCATGTTGCAACCTTTTTATATCATGCATGCACAAGATAACAAAGGCAGTGGGGAGAGTCAATCTGGCCATGGGCTGTTAGGGTGTGGAGGTCCAGGGGGAACCCTCACCTTGCCAAAGCCTCCAAACACAGGAGCAGAATCCCGTAGGGGAAGGAAGGAAAAGGAAGAAGAGAGAGGCAGGGCAAAGGAAAAGGAAAAGCTGTTATGTACTGAAGTTCTCACCCTGGGCCAGCAGGGGGATACTGTAGATAGTTATGCAAATAAGGGATCGAAAGTGACGTTCAGTGATTGGATAGTTTTAGAAAATTGTTACAGTTACGTTGTACTGGAGCTCTATATAAGCAGGCTGACTGAACCCTTCAGTTCAGTTCTGTTCTGGCCTTTGAATAAACAAGAGCTGTTTGAAGAATTGCTGTGTTGTCTGATATGTTCACCCACAACTTAACAGAAGCCATACTATGGGGGCAGCAGGCACTTTTTCTTCCCTGGCAGCAAAACACTCCAGCTATGGTGGCCCAGAACAATTTCTCTGAACCAGAGCAAGGCCTCCTCTTGAGCCATAGCTTAGTCATGAGTAAAAAGGCCACTCATGAAAGGCAAGAGAGCCAAGGAATGAATAAGGTTAGTGCAGGGGTGGGTAATGTTGGGGGTTGTATTCCAACAACATCTGGAAGGCCACAGGTTAGCCAACCCTAGCCCAGAGAATCACATTTTTTCAGGTTTTGAAATCCCATTTTCCCTTTCAGAGGAGAATAGCAGCTTCTGTTCACAAACATTTACCTTCCTCAGATACTTCTGACCACTCTGGGTTGGGAAATTCGTACTGACCCATCCGGATCCGTTTCTTCATGCCCGGAGAAATAGCCAGACCATGGTTGGAATAGAAAGGGGGGTACCCGCACAACCTGGGCAAAAGAGAAAAATAGAGAAATGACATGTAGAAGAGAAGTCCATTTTGAATGCCAAACTGATCTAATGTGCTTCCCCCCAAAAAGGGTATCATTTTTATTGTTTGTACTATAAAAGGCTGTCAGGTAAGAGAGTCCACTACAGCAGTGGGGAACCTCTAGCCTAAGGCTCTAAGTTAGGTTTGCTAGGCCTCTCTCTGCCTTAGGCCTGTGAGGCCATTTTTGGCAAACCACGCCTATCTGTCAGTCACTGTTATCTCCAATCTAAACAATACAGTGCTAAGATGAGAGATAGCTCTGTGCTCACTCTCTGAACAGGAAGTTGTCAAAGGGCTGGCAGCATTTTCCTGATCTTCCACCTTAGTGCTGTGAGACCACAGTCCTAACGTCAGAGAGAACACCCTGCTCCTGCTGTTTACTATCAAAGAGCAAACAGAGACTTATCTCTGATCTTTATGCTTATTGGACCTGGGGAATCATCTCTGTAGTTCCACTGTACTTCCAGGCACAGTGCAACATTGGGAAACCAGCCCTGACCAGCTCATATTGGAGAGAAAGGCTGAGGTCCCTCTTGTTACACTTGACAGAAAGCAATGGAGCACTCCCCATGGCAAACATGGAAAGCTGAATTGTGAACTTTTGTGAACCTGGATGATGAAGGGCCCTGGGGAGACAGGTTAAGGGCACAGCTGTGCTATACAGGGAGCAGCAAGAAAGCACCAGCATCAGTGGGATAAGGAAACATGTTGTCTTGTACACATTTGTTTAGCATGTTTCCTGCCCTTCTCTTCAGCACAAATGCGCTCCAAGCAGCAAACTAACTAAAAGGACATTAGGAAAAACAGGTTCCAAGGTACTTTCAATGTTAAAACCACTTTGAGGTGTGGCATGCTGCAAACCACCTGCCTAAATCAGGGGTGCCCAAACTTTTTTCAAAGAAGGCCAGATTTGATGACGTGAACATGTGTGAGGGCCGACCAAAGTTACTGAGCTTTTTTTTTAGGATTGCTGAGCTTTATTAGGATTTTACCCCAGGACATATGCTGCCACGGGGGCCAGATTAAATCAACCGACAGGCCAGATTAGGCCCCCGAAACGGACTTTGGATATGCCTGGCCTAAATCCTATGAGCCATTGTCTCAGTGCATTAGTAGCTCATCAACTGGGACAAACATTTTAGCAATGACTCAGCATATAAAACAAGCAGTGCTCCAAGTACAGCGTAATCATATCACATGTGCATGTTTCTTGCACGAATTCAGTTGCAAAAGCTTGGCTCCAGCAGCAACAGCCTTCCTAGCACAGTTGCAGGAAAGACTAAGGCAGAAGGGAGGAGGGAGGCAGAGAGAGAGAGAGAGATGCAGACAGAAGAAAATGGCTGGAATGGAACTGCAGCTTCTGCCTGCCTCTCTCCTCCTTTCTGCAGGCATGAGAACTGGATTCCTTCTTCCTCTGCCTCCACCGCTTTGCCACTCGACTTGCAGTCTTCTTCCTCTGGCAGCGGCCTTGGAAAACATTCCCGATTTCATCTTCCCCACAATCAATGCACCCAATTTTATTTCTACCGCCCAGGGCTTGTTCCTAAGGTGTGTTGAATCAGCCAGCATAATCTGTGCTTTTTTCCTCGATATCAACAAAGGATCTTCCTCAATGACTCAATAAACAGAACATGCCGGAAGCACAGCCCTTCCCAGTTAATTGGCTCAAGAACATCCCTAACTCTGGAACTTTATGGAATCCTGCCAGGAGGAAGAACACACAGAGGAGAATATACAAAGCAACTAACTGTGCCGTGCAGTACAGTGCAGAAGAATAGACTTACAAAATATACATGATGACACCAAGGGACCACATATCGCAGGACTTATCATATTTCTCTGGGCCTAGTACTTCTGGAGCTAAAGGAGATGAAAACAAAATGCAAAGTCAACTTTGTCACACATGCTATCAGTACAACTTTGTCACATGCTATCAGTACAACTTTCAGACATTTACACTTCAAGAGGACAGGCTGTCCCCCTCTCTGTGGAGCTTATTACCCTTGGAACTGTGCCTGGAGTACACTTGCAAAATAATATGCTGTTTGGATACAGTTTACCTGGCACTTGATATTAGTTCTAAGTTCATGGGAAAACCTCTGACACCAAGGCTGTTTGCCATAGAACATTTATAAAACTGCAGGGGAAGGACATTAAAGGGTGCCAGAAAATACCGTATTGGCCCGAATATAAGCTGCACATTTAAAATTGGAGGGAGGAGGGAAAAAGAAAAAATACCCGAATATAAGCGGCTCCCTTCCTCGTTGCTTCTGGCTGCATACTGGGGGGGGGGGGGTAGCCACGCTGCATTGCTGGTGGTCTTTCCCCTTCCTCGCTCTCTCCCTTCCTGGCCTTGGGGGAGAGGACGGGGGACTACATGTGGGGCGGGCACCGCTTTGCCATGCTCCTGTTGCTGTTTGCCCCACACTCCTGGCTGCATACTGTAAGGTAGCGAATATAAGCCACACTTTAACTTTTCAAGGTTGGAATTTGGGGGGAAAGTGAGACTTATATTCAGGCCAATACGGTGTTTAAAAGTGACCAGAGGTCTTAGCCTTTGAAACTGAATGATGCATTGTTTTCTCTCTTCCATTTAAAAATGGACCAGAACTAAATCCCAATAATAATAATAATAATAATAATTTCCCAACTTTTTCCCAGGCCAGAAACTGTTATAGGATGAGGGGGATCACCTGCACAACCTCAATCTGGTCGCCACATGATAGTGACACCTGTGTTGGCTGCTTTTGTTAAAGGTTTCACCCTGTGCCAATCCCTTTTCTTTCCAGAATACTAAGTAGGCAGCACAAGCAATCTATTGGAAGCGCAGAGACCAGCTTTTGAAGCATGCTCACCTGTTTGCCCAATCAGCTGCAGACCAGTGCTGAGGTTTTAAACTTGAGAGATATGCCATTTAGTTTAAATGATGTAGCAAATGAAATAAAATGATCAGGCTGCTTGCTTAAAACTCTTGAAAACCCATCCCTGCTCTTATTACAAAATGCAACAGCAGTGTACATGTGCCCTGAAGCTCACCATCACTATTTCTATGAAAAAGAGAGGTGTTGGAGGTTGCAGTTCTTATGTCTCGGAAGCGGATGATGATCTCCAATGGTTTACTTACCCACATAGTATGGTGTGTAGCATGGTGTAGCTAGGGAGTTATGTGTGGTGGTTTCTTTAGCAAATCCAAAGTCGGTGAGTTTTAATACAGCGTTGGGCCTTTTTGAGGTGTATAGGAGGTTTTCTGGCTGCAAGACATAATAAGCAAAACCAGCTTAAGAGAAAACTATATTTTGCACCATCTTGCAGACCCTAGGCTGGGCACATGGTAAGAACTAATGATCAGGAGTCCATTAACCTTTGCTTATTGATTTATACCATTTTTTTTCATGCATCTGCAGTAAAAATTACTCCCAAGGAAGCCTGACAGTCATTTCAAAGACATTTAATAGAAAAGTGAAGCACACCTATGAATAAACAATGAATAAAAACCAGGAACAGACTAAAACACAACAGCATTAACAGGGGCAAGTGAAAACAATCCAAATGATTTTTTTTTAAGACCTGGGGGAATGAAAGCCATCTTTGCCTGGTGCTGGAAAGGCATGATAGTGACAGATAAGCCTCCCCAACTGAAAAGGCCCTCTCAATAGCTGCAATTATGCAGATGCCATTACACATCTGTGTACATTAGGTATATGATCCAGATTATATTGACAATTCCCTATGATGCTTATGCTACTGAGTTTATTTGCAGTCCTCAAGACATGATGCGTTTTATATTTGCAAGGTCAAAGCTTCAGAGAGTCTTTTACTGCAGACACTAGGACATTAGAGGAATTTACAGAGGAACAGAGGATTAAACACATATTTACAGGGGAAATGGTGGTATAGCCAATTTACCCTCCAAAATTAAATAAATACCTGAAGTAAACATAGTCTCTGAACTCTTTATAAGTGTTGGCCGCAAGGCTCTTGACCAGTTTATTGAAATGCAACGTTCCCTAGCCCATTTGTTCAGCGAATGAAATGTTATGTAATGTTTATTAGCACAAAGCTTAAGGTTGTGAACTTTTGGTGGGCAGGAGTTCAGCCACAAAGGGAGTAGGCAGCATTACAGAGAGTTTTTGATTTTGACGTCTAACCATGTTTTCGTGTTAAATGGATGAGCCTCATTGAAAAACCGCTACACATACCTGTTGAAGTCCTCCAGCTGCTTCCCTGTGGCTCATTCAGGCTCAGCCACAGACTGCTAAACTATGGTTTTGCCTTAGGTGGGAACATGGTTGGTATGTAAAAATCTTTGGGTCTATGCAAGTGGCATGTTAATGGTGTGTGTGTGTGTGTGTGTGTGTGTGTGTATTTGAATTTGAATTTGAGTATTGCAAATCTCTCTCTCTCTCTCTCTCTCTCTCTCTCTCTCTCTCTGTGTGTGTGTGTGTGTGTAGTAGTAGTAGCAAGAGTAAACCAGAATGTGAACGGCTTAGATTGAGAAGATATATGGGCGAGGGAACCTAAAACTACCCTTCAGACTTGAGAGTGTATACCCACCCACATATATATTTTGTTTCAGAAAGCATAAAATGATCAACATATACTTTGCACCTTGAATGTTAATAATATAGATCAAGAACCACAGCAGGCATGTGTGTGCATTGGAGAGAGCCAATATGTATCTAGAGCTCTGTTTTCACTATTCACAGCTGCAGATTATGACGCCAAACAACCAGATCCCTGTTCAGCCGGTGTGTGTGTGTGTGTGTTATTTTTTAGATGTTTCAGCAGTGGTGCAGTGAAACCAAGGCTCGAGTTGTCCACATGAATACCCCCTTCTTGATATTCTTTATCTAAATAACATGCGTCTGTTCCTGCATCTCCATAAAAGAGAAGAGCCAAAAAGAACAAGACTAAAAATACGGTTCCATAGCCTTTGAGAACTTGAAATTTCGTCACTTAGGAGAGAAAGAATGTGCTGGCAGGTGATGTAGAATTATGTAACAGGCAGAGAAAGGGAAACATTTTCAAGCCCATCCTATTGCCTCAGGGGCAGTGGATTATAATTACAGCAATTGGATTTTTCCAGCCTCGTCCTAAATCTAACAAAGAATCTACCTTTTATTTTAAAAAACATGCTTGGGAGCCCCTTCTGTTAACAAGGATTCTTAGTCCAAATATCCTGGGGGAGGAACCACCTAACCAAATTAGCATTCTTCCAGGAATTCATTAGCTTTTCCTTACCATGCTGAGCTGCACAATTGCTATTCCTCAGTGTGGTTGCATTCTAGACTTTGTTCACATGTCCCTGCTTAGCTGAAAACCACATCCAGAGAAGATTCTTCCAGAGCACCTGCCTACATGAACCTAGTGCAATTACGCTGGAGCTATTAATTTTACCCACAATCTGTTCAGGAATTAAACTGGGGTTGCTCTGATTTAAATATGCTTTGCCCTCTCTGTAAACATGACAAGTGAGCAAGGGCTGCCTATTTAAACTAGCACAGACAAACATGTGCCCTCACCATCCACTCATAAAGCAAGGGTGGCGCTGTGGTCTAAACCACTGAGCCTCTTGGGCTTGCCGATCGGAAGGTCGGCAGTTCAAATCCCCATGACGGGGTGAGCTCCCATTGCTCTGTCCCAGCTCCTGCCAACCTAGCAGTTCGAAAGCACACCAGTGCAAGTAGATAAATAGGTACCACTGCGGTGGAAAGGTAAACGGTGTTTCTGTGCAATCTGGTTTCTGTCACAGTGTCCCGTTGCACCAGAAATGATTTAGTCATGCTGGCCACATGACCCGGAAAGCTGTCTGCAAACAAACACCGGCTCCCTCGGTCTGAAAGCGAGATTAGCGCCGCAACCCCATAGTCACCTTTGACTGGACGTAACCGTCCAGGGGTCCTTTACCTTAAGCATTAATTTCTGTATATGTGAACAACTGCACAGGGCACCTGTTCACTCAACGTACAGACACTGGAGGCGGGGCCAGGAGGCATCCCATTCTGCCTCCATGAGTTAGCATGAAGTTAGCATGTAGGCATTCAAATAGGTTCCATTAACTTTCACAGTTCATGCTGGGTTGAGATGCAGCAGGGCAGGTCTCTCTTGACCAGAACAGTTGAGTAGGGCAAGGGGATAAGAGAGTTCTACAGCACTCTCTACCAATGGCTGCCAGTGCTGGTCAGTGAGAGGATGAAGGGGTTCCTCTTTCAGAGACCAACACAGGTGGAAGGGTGGGTGGGTTTGAATCTGCATCTTCTCAGGATGCTTTCAAATCATAAAAATAAAGGAATATTTCCTCCTTTGCTGGCAGACACTGCTGATATCAAGAGGTAGGTAGTATTTGCTTTGTGCCACTGTTCGGTTCAATTACGTTTTAGACCTCCTAAATCAAATTTAGTACTATTCCAGAAGCCATCTGCTGCTGGCATTTTACTGTTGGTACCACATGAATTACACATTGGTTGCAATGAAATAATTCAATCTTACTCCCAACAAACCACTACACATTCATGACCCCAGATTTTTAGGGTCAAACTGGACATGAAATTATTTGACATAACAAATTAGACATGACATTTGGCTTTCCAGAGTTCCCCCCTAATAAATAGCCATTGTATTGGGGGGAGCCAGACTGGGCTCAAGGCATGTGAGGAAAGGGGGAAGTAACTCTTTGCTCCTGCCATGCTCACACTGGCATAACAATGAATTTCAGGAGCTGGGAGGCTAGAGCAATTTGAATAAGAACCATGGCAGGGGCAAATAGTTAAATCCTCCTCCTTACCATGGTCCTAATCAGGACGCCTTTTGCCATGCTGGTTATGCACTGAAAACCACCACCACACAAGGCCAAGTAATATGAACAGCACTGTGTCTGGACCTGAGGGACACCTTCATTTGGTCAGAGTCTTTGGAAATAGTAGTCTTGTGTGGACCACATCCAGGAAGTTAGAAAACCATCAGTTGAGGTTGATGGAAGTCCTAAGGCTGTGATAGCCAAAGGTTTGTTATGTTGTTTAAAATGGGATGTTATGTTTGGGAAACATGTGTAAAAACCAATAAAAAATATATTAAAAAGAGGAAGAGTACCTTAACATCCCGGTGTGCAATGTTGATTGAGTGTAAATACTGAATGGCTTCTCCGATGCTCTTCATTATTTCAGAAGCCTCTGAAGATAAGAAAACAAAGCAGGTCATTTTTACTCTGCAGCCAAAGAGGCAACCGCCACCTAATATCCAGATTACAAGGAGTTAGAGGGAACAAACAACATTACTGGTCAGGTTTCAGAGCAGAAACAAATGTGATGAAGAACATGAAGCTGATGCTGTCCCATGGTGTGGTCCTCCTCTTCTCCAAGCTGTTGGCAAGAGAACGTGGCACCACGTTCCTGACCACAGACTTAATTCAGGTGATCAGAAACAAAAGTATGAGCTCATGGTTTCCTTTCCATGTCATTTCTAGTCATACTTTGTCATGACATCCCTATTGGCAAACTGAACACTAGTCCAGAATCGGAAATCCACTTCAGTCCTTTACTTGCAGGTTCCAGTTTGTTTGTCCTTTGACATACAGAGGGCCAGTGGTTCCCCTTCTCTGCCTTAAAAAGTAAACAGTTGTGCCTGAAGTCTTAAGGCTTAAATTGTCAATGCTTGTTAAGCTTTAAGAAATCTATTGTATCCCTTCATACCTCTTTCTGTGAACGCCTGGTCCCCTCTGTCTTGAATTCGACTGAAGAGTTCCCCACCATCCAAGCTGAAAGTCATAAACGAGTGTAGTTACAAAAATGGAAGCAACAAGAATTACTGCCTAAGCAAAACCACCACCAGGCTATGAGTACATTTCCATGCACGCGCGTACACACCACTTTCCCAAGGCCTCTGGGTGAAACTCAGATCCATCTGGAATTAATCTTGAAAAGCACATATAGGGTTGAAAAAGAGAGTAGGAAAGTGTCACTCTTCCTCCTTTAGCTCTATGTAGTTTTCCAAGGAGAAAAAGGTAACTACCATCACACCGCAATCATGACCAAGGGACCTGGGGCTCAGAGGGTTTGTGGGCACCAGGGAAAGACATCAATAAAGTTATTTAGGGCATAGATTGTTTCAACAGAAATGTGGCAGTGAACCCATGTAGTCAGCACCCATCCCAAGACGCTTGCAACGGCCACAGTGCAGTTAATAAGCATGGAGCGATATATCTGCTGAAATGTCTCTGAATGAAAAGAAGAACAAGGCAAGCTCTAAAAGGCTGAAGCTCCTTTAAAGATGTAAGGCGTGGAGATTAAAAGAAAGAAACATATTAAACTGGCTTACAGTTTGACTTTAACTATTTTGATGAGAATCGCTTTGGAACAAATCTATCTATCTATCTATTGGAAGAAAAAGGTGTGGGGGCAGAATGGGCTGCACAAAAGAGCAAAATCCTAATAAAGTAATAGGTCTATTAGCATCTTATGTAGTTTCAAACTTTGCTTATAAGTTTTCCACTGTTCAAGATTTTTTCTCACGTAAAACACTGAAGAGCTTTCTTCTGTCTGTCTGCTTTGGAAGCTACCTAGGACTTTGACTTGCCCTGTACAATTGCCTATCGCAGCCAATGGTTACAGAAGCACCAAGCAGTTCGCACAACCTGTATCACCCCACCCTGCAGCCCCTCGTAACTCAATAATCTTCTCCAAACAATCAGTAGGGCTTTGTCACACAGTGTAAGGTGGGAGTCTGTGTAGGGGGATGGCCATCAGGTGGAACACTTTTTTTCCTAGCAGAGCTCCCCCTGGTGGAAGCTCCCTCAGCTCACATTCAGGCATTTCCCCCGTCCCTGCTTTTAAAAGTTCAGCAGCAGGGCAGGATTCCAAGTGTTCAGTCTCTTCCCTTCTTGGATAGGAATGACCTTGCCATGATCTAATCATGTCAGGATTGGATTACTGCAGTGCATTGCACACTGCAATTCCTTTGAAGACCACTCAGAACGTTCAAGTTGGTTCAGAATGCAGCGGCAAGTCTGCTAATGTCAACAGCCAGAAATCAATACATTGCATTCATCTTTCAATATATTTATTGGCTCCTGTTGTGTTTCCAAATTAAAATGCTCGTTTTGATTTATAAAGCCTTAAATGGCCTAGGTCCAAGGAATCTGGAAAAACTGCTTCCTTCCATAGAAGCCTGCTTGCTTACTTAAATCTGCATTAGATTAGTTGTTTGTGTCTTTTCCCCTGTGCCGCCATATCCTCTAAAGCTGTATCCCACAAAACATCCAGGGACATTCTTCTGTGTTACCATACATCTAAAAGCGTTTCACGAAAGAAATCCACAGCTAGTATTTAGACACTCAGTAAAGATCTGATGATTTGCCCTAGTTTCTATCTCGCTATTTCCCCGCTTGGTGCTGCATTCTTTCTTACTGCGTTGCACTTCCTTACTATGGTTTTTCTTGTTTTGAATGCAGTCTGTCCCCCCCCCCCAATTTGTAAGCCACTCTGGCCATCTCTCTTCAAAAAGCATGGCGTACAGATGTTAAGCAAATAAATAAAATAAAAGCACCTACCCCACCCCCAGATTTAAGCAAGAGTAGCAATCGTGAATTTCTTTTTTAAAAAGTAAATTACAGCAACAACCCAAAAAAAGTCATCTGGAGCACTTTACCCAAGAGAAAAGTTTAGAAAGCAGGAAATGAGTTAAAAACAAAACCAAAACACCCCACAACTTCTATAATCTCTCCCTGATTCACACCCTGCCCACCCACCCACAACTCTGCCAGTTTCAGTACCAATTTACCCAAGTAGAAACACTTAAAATCTGTATCAGCTAACTCTTTGCAAGGAAGATGCCCTATCTTTAGCAAACTTATGGCTGGGAATAAATTATCTCGGCACTGTAATAGTTGCATATGTTAATGAGTTCAAATGCGGATCTAAATGCCATTTCCAGTGAAAATGAATGGTATATATGGGTTGTGGGACTACCCATAAAGGTGGGGCATATCCACATTTAGAGAATGTAGTGAAAAAACAGCACTTCTGACTACAAAGCTCTGTGTGGTGCTCTCTAGCTGTGAGCAGTGGTTAAGCATGGCCAACTGCACAACTCGCTTTGTCCCATCAAACCACACACTCACCATTCCATGACTATCAGGAGACATTTTCGACCCTGGTAAAGATTTTCATAGACGTCTATAATCTTCACGATATGAGAACACTGAGATGCCCTCCAGTGCAACTCCACCTCCCTGCGAGCTTTCGGACAGTCTTGCAGCATCTGGAAAGGGAAAGAGAAAAAGGAAGTGTGAGCATTCTTTTCTCCCTTGCTTTGATTAGCATACTTGTAAATATCATCTATGCCTAACAATTAACATCTTGCCAGCAATCATTTCCCCAGTGTACAGAGGATAAAGTTTGCGTCATGAACCACACGTGGGACTCAGATTTTACACAATCCCTCAAAAGAACACAATCTTTCTCTCTCTCTCTCTCCTTTTTTCAAGTTGTTTGCTTAACAAATTTTTGCATCTGTCATGTTCACAACAGCTAGGCAGATCCTAAGTCCCATTTTACAGATTGGGAACTAAGTGACCTCCCATAGTGAAGTCAGGAGTGGCTGAGGCGGTAAGTGCAAGATGGGAGCTGCACCTTGGGGTTTTCTTGGTGCGCCCACAAAGTCCTGACCGCACTGTTACTTTGTCCCTATACCATCCTGGTAAGTGGCAGAGACACTGTTTTCTGTAGAATGGCATAGCACCATTCCACCATGTCAGCCACTCCTAGCTTAAGTGACAAATATGAAGTGCATTAAAAGGACCCAATCCAATAATTCACTGGACATTTTATCACATTAAGATTCCCCACCCCCCAATTTCTTCCAAGAACTTTAGGATGCTACTGTATACTTTCTTATTTTTGCCCAAGAAACCCACCACAAAATGGGATGAAAGATGGACAAGGCCACCTTGAGAACTTCACAAGCAGGGGCTTGAACCAGGCAAAAAACCATGAAGTCTGATGTAACGTTCAGAAGAAGTTGCATTTGAATCCCTTACGAATCTTTCTTTGGAGGTCTTTAAGCAGAGGCTTGACAACCATATGTCAGGAGTGCTCTGATGGTGTTTCCTGCTTGGCAGGGGGGTTGGACTCGATGGCCCTTGTGGTCTCTTCCAACTCTATGATTCTATGATTCTTCTGAGCCAGCAAAACAAATAAAATATCAAGGTATGCACTGCCATCTTATGGTGAATACTGTAACTGCAACTCACACCACTTGGCTGGAGCAACCAATTGTGGATGTATCCCAAAATGGTTTTTGACCTTTTAACGGGAAAGTGGATGTGATTTTCACTGTGCGACAGCGTCAAGAAAAATGCGGGGAGCAAAATCAACCCCTATATATGGTTGTTTATTGACCTAAGACCTTCAACACTGTAAATCGTACTGCCCTGTGGACTGTCCTTCCGAAAATTGGCTGCCCAAATAAATTTGTGAACATCCTTTGCCTCCTCCAACAATTGCAGATAACCATTCACAGTGGGTTCATGCGTTAAACAGGGATATATTATCACCCTAAGTCTATTACAGTGGTACCTTGGTATTTGAATAGCTCGGCTCCTGAACAAATTGGCTCCTGAATGCCGCAAACCCAGAAATAAGTGTTCCGGTTTGCGAATGTTTTTCAGAAGCCAAACATCTGACACTGCTTCTGCTTGAGTGCAGGAAGCTCCTGCAGCCAAATGGAAGCCGCACCTTGGTTTTCAAACAGTTTCGGGAGTCATACTCACTCCTGGAACAGATTAAGTTTGAGAACCAAGGTACCACTGTATTTTTATCACCATGGTCCTACACATTGTCGAAGGGAAACTCCCCATTGGGGCAAAAATCATATATTGAGCAGATGGAAAGCTCTTTAACCTGAGTAGCCTGAAAGCAAAGAGTAAGGTTACCGTAACTTCCGTCATAGAGCTTCAATATGCTGATGACAATGTAGTGTGTGCACACTCAGAGAATGATCTCCAAACCATCCTAAATATCTTTGCAGAAGCTTACAGAAAGCTTGGCCTATCGATCAATATCCAAAAAATCAAGTGCTGCACCAACAAACACAAAACAACCCCTCTGCACCAAATTCAACTTAATGGTGTAACGTTGGGAAGCGTTGATCACTTCTCCTACCTGGGCAGTTATCTTTCCACAGGGGCCAACATTGATGCCGAAACTGAGTACTGCCTGAGCTCTGCGAGTGCAGCTTTCTCCCAAGTGAAGTGCAGAGTGTTTAAGGACTGGGACATTCACAGAGAAACCAAAATGCTTGTTTACAAAGCTATTGTGCTACCAACCTTACTGCATGCTTGTGAAACATGGACCACTTATGAATGCCATCTCAAACTCCTCGAAAGATTCCACCAACAATGTCTCTCAAAAATTTTACACATCACATGGGAAGACAGGCAAACTAATGCCAGTGTAGTGGAAGAAGCAAAGATCACCAGTGTCGAAGCAATGATTCTTAATCATAAACTTTGTTGGACTGTTCATGTTGTTTGGATGCCTGATTATCATCTTCCAAAGCAATTACTCTACTCAGAACTTAAAAATGGAAAGCGTAATACTGGTAGACAAAAAAAGAGGTTTAAAAATGCTCTCAAGGCAAATCTTTAAAAATGCAGTATAAGCACAGAAAACTGGGAAACACTGGCCTACGAGTGCACCAATTGGAGAAGAGCCTTTACCAAAGGTGTCATGGGTTTTGAAGAAGCACGAACTCAGGGCGGAAAGGAGAAACGAGCTACAAGGAAGGCACATTTGGCAAACCCTCACCATTATCAACTCCCACCTGGAAACCTATGTCCCCACTGTGGAAAGACGTGTGGATCCAAAATTAGCCTCCACAGTCACTTACAGACTCACTGTTAAGACCCTGTTCATGGAAGACAATCTTACTCGGCTACAAGTGATCACCAAAGAAGCAGCAGCAGATGGGTCAGATATGCAAATTCCAGCTTGGATACAATGCTAGAAATTAATATGCTTAATTTGGTCCAGCAAATAGCAATTATATATGCATTTAGAGAAACATTTAGCAATCAGAAACTAATTAATTAAAATAATTAATCGGTCCTGTGGAGATCCCTCCATGGGCCATTTTCGGTGTCTGTGTCTGCACAGATGCGTTTTTTGGCATCTGCGCATGTGCAAACGCAATTTCCAGCACCGCAGAAGTGAGTCCCCACTCTGCGTTGCATCAGTTTAGGGCCGCACGCAAGCAGGCAGCTCAGCTGTGGCTTGTGGGCCGGTCAAACAACCTCCGCGGGCTGCTCCCGGCCCATGGGCCTTAGGTTGCTGACCCCTGATCTATATCTATCAACAGCAGCAACGGAAGAGCAATGCATTGAAAACTACCTCTTTTGAAAAACATGATTATGCGACCTATGGTGCCACCTAGTGGCTGAGATTATTCAAAAAGTTTCACTCCTAGAATTGCAACATAAGCCAGACCTCCCCTCAGCCCAGTAAGTCCCGGGAGGACCAGGTTGAATCCGCCACACAGCCATGAGGTTGCAGTGACCTTGGACCAGTCACTCTCTCTCAAGCCAACAGTTTGGTGCTGTGCTGCTGCCTTCCTAACAGTCATTGTTGCTGCCTCTTACTGTGAGGCAGCAGAGCAGGGCAGCAGCGGAGGCAGAGGTTATACACTGGCAGAGCCAATCCAGCGCTCCCACACATCCCTGACTGCACCACTGCCTGGCCCTAGTAAGTGGAAGCAGCATCACTATTGAAAGGGTAGCGGTGGAGCACCGCCTCCTGTCTTGGTCAGCCCCTGCCAGCTCAGACAATATTAGTGATGATGATGATGATGATTCAGGGTGGATAAAAATCAATGGATTTAAAAAATAATAATTTGAAAATCGAATTTTTAAACATTTAAATCGGATATTTAAAATAAAATGCTCTTGGAGGAAAAATCTTTTTAAAGATTTAAGTTACATTATAAAGGGTAAAGGTAAAGGGAACCCTGACCATTAGGTCCGGTCGTGGCCGACTCTGGGGTTGCAGCACTCATCTCGCCTTATTGGCCGAGGGAGCTGGCGTACAGCTTCTGGGTCATGTGGCCAGCATGACTAAGCTGCTTCTGGCGAACCAGAGCAGCACACGGAAACACCGTTTACCTTCCCGCCGGAGCAGTACCTATTTATCTACTTGCACTGTGACGTGATTTCGAACTGCTAGGTTGGCAGGAGCAGGGACTGAACAACGGGAGCTCACCCTGTTGCGGGGATTCGAACCGCCGACCTTCTGATCGGCAAGCCCTAGGCTCTGTCCTACTGACTAGTGATTTAAATCGATTTGATTTAAATCAAATCCACCCTGTTACTATTATTAATAATAATTTCCACCTTTCCTCCCAAAGAAGCCCTGTGCAGAAGCCAACAAACCAAAACAAAACAACTATTTTAAAACAAACATTGAAAATATATATAAAACAGATGAAATATCTTTACAAGTGTTAATAATATTTCAGTGGAGACTGCATGCTATTTATATATTTGTTTATTTAACAAATTTCATCTAGTTCTGTCAAGAAAGTTTTTTTAAAAATGATAGTCCTTTGGTAATTTTCCCATTATATTCATTGAGAAGACTCCTAACGCTTTGGGAAATGTTTCAGATCTCAACCAAAGTGACATGTTTGTCGAAAGTTCTGAACTGAAGGGACCCCACTATCTGAAGTGTGTTCTGAGGTTTTCCCCCCCCCCCTTTTCTGAGCACCACTCTAAGTATATATGTGAAGCTAAGGTTTCCTTTTGCCCCAACATGCATCACTTTACTCTAAGGACCCATTTGCTCTGTATACATTTAAAGCATCATCATATCACTTTAAGCATTCATGGCTTTCCTCCAAAGTATCCTGTAGTTACAAACTGTAGTTTGTAAAGGGTATTGAGAATTGTTCGGTGATCCATATGATGCTTCTTTAAATGTATAATTCAGATAGGACCTTAATAATTAAATTTGTAAATTCACCTGAAGAACACACAGCAGTACAGTGGTACCTCGGGTTACAGACGCTTCAGGTTACAGACTCCGCTAACCCAGAAATAGTGCTTCAGGTTAAGAACTTTGCTTCAGGATAAGAACAGAAATCGTGCTCCGGCGGCGCGACAGCAGCAGGAGGCCCCATTAGCTAAAGTGGTGCTTCAGGTTAAGAACAGTTTCAGGTTAAGAACGAACCTTCAGAACGAATTAAGTACTTAACCTGAGGTACCACTGTAC